GCTCTTCCTGCCCAATTCTGCTCTCTGTGCCTTATCCACACATTTAGAAGGGAGCATGGTTCAGCATCAAACAAATGATTATGAATCAATTATCTGTCAGCTCTTATCTGCTTTGGGGAAGTCTTTAGAGGTTCTTTTTGTTTGTTTGTTTTTCCTTTTTTTTTTTCCTCCCAGAGAAATATCTGGTGAGTGATCAGCCAGGAGACATGATGTAGAGTGAAGGGAAATTTCACTGAGCAAAGTCCATATCTCCATACCTTTCATTGGTGTTCCATAATATTTCCCTGGAAATAGCTTTATGTAAAGTGAAAAGATTAGAGATACAGTTGCAAGATAGATTTTACTTTAACTTTATATCTACTTTTCAACCTATGCAACTGTGATTTGGATTTGTAAGGTGGTCAGGTTTTCACTTGGATTGTATCAAAGTATTTTGAACAGCTCCTCTGGAAGCCTGTACTCTGAGAAATTTTGATTCATCAGTTTATAAAGTGTTTTCTTATAGAATTCTTAGCTTATAGAATTCTCCTATATACAAGAAAACAAATGTGCATAGTTGTCTGAACAACTTAATAAGGAATTTTGTGTCTTAATAAGGAATATTCTGGACGCATTTTTTTGGAACCAATGGTGGCATAGCCTAGAAATGATGTTTTAAAGTTATGAATAATCTCAAGCCAAAATTCTCATGTCAATCTTTGAAATAAAATGCCTTGCAAATCTCACATTCCAAGTCACAGTCTGTAACTCCTGGCTAGATCTTAATTCTTATGGTCTGCTTTGTTTAGGTAAAGAAGAGGTACTCAATTGCACAGGTTTCCTGGGTTATTATATGCCAGAAGATGCCAGCCTTTACTGGTCAATTAACCAGACATTTCCAAAAAAATGTTCACGTATCCCTGAGAATGAGCCTTCAACATGTGAAGAAGAGTTCAAAAAACTACTGTAAGTTTCCAAAAAGTACAGCAGTTCTGCTTGTATGTATTTTGTGTTCTGCATTTTGTGGATTGTAAATTAAATAAAATTAGTTTTTTTTCTAGAATATTTTTCTCAAAATAGGCCTCTCAACTGGTAATAGAATTCCATAGAGACAGTGTTGCTAACATCCTTTGTTGTTGCAGCATTGGAAACAAGTTTTATGTCACAAGGCTATTACGGATTAAAAAAGTAGCAGAAGAGGACATGCATCATAATTTCACCTGCATGTTGCAAACTAATGAAGGAATGCGAATAAAAATAGTGAAACTGAAGAAAGGTACAGTATAAACTATGAATTATACTTCTCATGTGTAAGTATTATTGGAGCTCATGCCAGCCTTCTCGATATGGAGGACTGGGTACTGGATTCGGAACATCAGTGCAGACACATGCATGCTTATGATGGCCCTAGTCCCTCTTAATGCAGGATTTGACACTTTTCCTGGT